CAACTTGAATGCAGAACCAAGACGCTTGGCTGAGCCCTCCTTATAAGGAAGTGTCTTCGCGATGGATAAAAGCCTAAACCCTAAACCCTAAACCCTAAACCCTAAACCCTAAACCCTAAATCCCAAAGCCCTAAACCATCCTAAACCCTAAATTTCCTAAAGCCATCTAAATCCTCCATACACTGCTGCAAAGGGGCGCGGGGGGCGGCCGCTCATTCGCGTGGCAGTGCATGGCACGATTCCTCTTTGTTTGAGACATGGATTGACAGCTCTGGCTTGCAAGGTTCAAGGGCTTTAGGATCAGAGTTTGGGGGGTGTGATAGATTCCGCGCACACCAAGCCAGACGGGTGTTGTGGAGTGCGCACAGGTTCACGTGTCTCTCCCAATCAACCAACCCAGTTTATAAGCTTTGTCGAGTTTAGGGCTTATTTGATCGTCTATAAAGTTTGGAAGCGACTGGACGTTGTGGCTTTCACTTGAGTGCCTCTGCTCCCTTTGCTTCGTTTTTTTCGTGGATTTCTGGACTTTCTACCTTAGCCTTCGGTGCCACGTCTGGGGTTCAGCGAAGCCTTTCGAGGCTTTGACTCCTAAAGGCACCCAAAGAACCCTAAACACGGTTGAGGCTTTAGGGTTTAGGGAGCTCGTTGAAGAACCCTCACACCCTGTTGAAACGCCTTAAAGGAAGCGTAAAGACCCTTGTAGAACCCCTTAAAGCTTTTGGGGGTGGCCTTTGCTTCGTGGGGAAACCCCAAATCCAGAAAAAGGACCCAAAAGGGTTTAGGGCTTCTGGTTTAGAGCTTAGGGTTACCAGAACCCCAAAACCCAAGACCCCAACCCCCAACCCTAAACCCTAAACCCTAAACCAAAACCCAAAACCCTAAACCCCAAACCCCAAGCCCTAAACCCTAAACCCCCAAAATCCAAAACCACCCCTGGTAAAAGAGGCGCTCTCCTGCAGCACCAGCCACGACGCTTCTCGGACGAAATCCTGGGGGCCCGGGGCCGGCTGCTCGGATTGAACTACCTATGGTCTCCAACCTTTAAACTTTTCAGGGTTGAGGGTTTAGGGTTTAGGGGTTTAGGGTTTAGGGTTTAGGAATTTCCCTATAGTCTCCATTGTAGCTCCTTTTTTGGGCTTAACCAATTATATGTTAAGGATTTTATAAGGCATCCCCAAAAAGGAACTACAATGGAGACTATAGATAGGCTGATATTTCGGGTTCTGGGGTTTCTTGGGACGCGGGGTTAAGGGTTGAAGAGCTGAGGTCTTGAGGGTTTAGGGTTTTGAGGGTTTCGGGTTGAAGCGTTGAGGTCTTGAGGGTTTAGGGTGTTGAGTGTTTGGGGTTCAGGGTTGAAGCGTTGAGGTCTTGAGGGTTTAATGTTTTGAGGGTTCGGGGTTTAGGGTTGAAGAGCTTGGCGTATGGCGGCTTAAGGTTACTAGGGGGGATCCTCCGACGTCCTGTCGTGTGTCGGGGTTCCTGGGAGTTTATGCGTGGTCGTCGGGTTTTCTTGCAATTGTTGGGCATTTAAACGGGTTTCTACACTCGTTGAATTAGAGGTCGTTGATTTGGGTCTTCTCATAGGTTCGGGTGCGCATTAGGAACCACGTGTTTTCTGAAACGCAAATTGGGATTGAACACTGTGTTGTGCAAAATGCCTTTCGGGGTGGTCGAAACTCAAGATCCATAGCGCACTCAAACATGCCATAAATCGATGAGCAGGTTGGGATTCTAGGTTATATCTTCTTCCGCAGCTCCCTTGTTAAGGAATCGTCCATAACCTGGACATTTCCCGCCCGAAACTTGC